TACAGGGAAAAAACCATGTTTGAGATCACTCAATTGAAACAATATCTTTCCACTAAGTCTGACATCAAGGGTTTGAGGGACAAACATTTTCAAAGTATATTCTTGATCTCTTGGTGGATACAGGGAGGTTGGGGGATACGCCTAACAATGCTCCCATTGAACCAAATCACAAGATCTAAGTTGGCAAGGGTGACCCACTACTAGACAAGTGGATATACCAAAGGCTTCATGATCCCTGTTCAACTCGACTTGAACTCTCTTATGCAACCAGTATAGCAAGCCAATATATACATCAACCTAGACTTCCTCATATTGCAACAGTCAGCCATATACTAAACAACTTAAGGGATACTCCATGAAGGGATTTTTTTTTTTGATAAATAAAATCATCTTCCATTATTTCAAAGATTGGTTACATGAAAATCCCCTTAGAGGCGCGAGGTGCTGCCTCTCCAAACAGCAAATACATAAACTACAACAGAGATTACATGAATGTTGATGTTAAACAAGAGTTACAATTGCGCCAGGAACAACGTTCCCTATTTGTCCCTTGTTTTGCCAAGACATCGGCAAATGCATTAGCTGATCTCCCAACCCACTGTACTGTTATAGGCATCTTTCTTGTCAGCCATTTGAATTTCTTTAACTCATTTTTGTAGCCCCAAGTGACATCCTCTGGGCTCCGGATTATTTAATAATCCTCCACTGTCTTAGAATCCCTTCAATCAAAAGCTGTTCCACACCCACTTCTTTTGCAAGAAGTATTCCTTGCATTACAGCTAACAGCTCTGCCCGGATAGAGTTCCCAACACCTACAGGGCTAGAGTAGAGTAAGACAACCTCTCCAGCCTCATTCCTCAGTACACCTCCCATCTCAGAGGGACCCAGACTACCCTGGCTACTCCCATCAAAATTCAGCTTAGAAGAACCAAGAGGAGGGGGGACCCAGCTAGTCAATACCCTTACCTTTGAGGAGGAACAGCTTGCTACCAACATCCAATCCTTCCAACAATCAGTAAAAGAGAAATAGTTAAACAATTCTAAAGTCTTTAACCAATGTATTGACCTGTACATAATGCAGTCCTTCAAGGCTTGACTGCTCCTCCCTTTTTCTTGGAAGATTCCGGCATTCCTTTCTTCCCATACTGTCCATAACAATGATGCTCACGTGCACCTCCACATTTTCCTTCCTCTCCAAGAGAAAAAAGAAGGGTTAAAGATTGCGCTTACTTCTGCTAGCACATCCCAACTACACACCCAAACAAAGATAGAAGCCAAATCCAGAGCTCTGCAGTTACACTGCAAGATAAAAATAGATGATTACAATCCTCACCACGAGATCTGCAAAGAATGCACCAATTTGGTGAAATACAAAGGATGGGTCTTCTCTTTTGTAAGTTATCCATCGTGTTTACTTTACCATGACACACTTCCCAACACAAAACCATAACCTTGGGGGGGACCGACCTACATCAAACTTCTTTGGAATGGAAACTTTGTTGAGAGGATGTTTCGCAAAGGAAATGGAAAAAGGAGCCACAAGAAAAAGACCCATTGGGGTGAATGGCCAAATCCTTTTATCAAGGAGACAAAGAAGAGTAGACAAACACTCAATTTCCTCATCCCTTAACCCTCTATGGAAACCAAAGTCCCAAGACAACGCTGACAAATTTAAAATTGACGGAAGGAATTTTGAGATCACCTCTTTTTTATACGAAGAAACAAAGTACAAGGATGGAAAAAGGTCTTTAAAAGGGAGATCTCCAGCCCAAATGTCCTCCCAAAACCGAATAGAATTACCAAAACAAACATCATACCTAACACAAGTGAGGAATTGCAGAAGAATTTTGTGAATTGCTTTCCATGGTGTAGCTAGGTTAGCCCTCGATGCGCCAGCATTCCAACCACTCTTTGAACGTCCATGAATATTCTTCACCACTTCATGCCAGAGTCTATCTCGCTCCAAAGGCCACCTCCACAGCCACTTCCCTAACAAAGTTGAGTTCTTTTTAACACATTCCTGAGCCCTAATCCTCCTTCCTCTTTGCTTCTACCCACAACCCCCCAACTAATTAAGTGATCTTTTTTAACTTCTCCCGTTCCCAAAGAAAATCTCTCATCAATTTTTCCAGTTTCTTCACACTTCCCTAGACAGTATCCTAAAGACAGAGGTAATAAGTAGGTAGATGCATGAGGGTAGCTTTTATCAAAGTGATTATCCCACCCAAAGATCCCTGGTGCATGGACAGACCTTTGGCTGAGGTGTTTCCCCTTTTGTTCCAATGTAAAGTTAATCAAGAACTACCAATGGCAGAGTCTTATGTGATCTCTAACAATTCAGTGATCTGGAACCCTCAGTTCAGAAAAGAATTATTTGATTGGGAAATAGAAGTTGTGATGCAGCTTCTGCAGATTTTACAAGAGCAAACGATAGACATTGCAGATGAAGATGAATGGAGCTGGTCATGGAGTAAGGATGGTTGTTTCTCAGTTAAACCCCTTACTGTGAAGCTTAATAGTACGGGGGTTATTGAGTTCCCCTACCAGCAAGTATGGAAGTCTTGTGCTCCCTCGAAGTCTTTTTTCCTTGTTTCGACTATGGTGCTGAAAAAATGTCTCTAAAGGCTCAACCTGGACAGAAGGGACATTCAGTTCCCTTCTCTGATGTGTGGGTTGTGTGGCTTGTTAACTGAGTCCACAAACCATTTGTGCTTACATTGTCCTATCTCTTCGAAAGTCAGGTACCATTTCATAGGTGCGGCCGGTCTTAATTGGGTCATGCCAAATTCAGTGAAAGACCTGCTGCTTTGTTGGAATCTCCAAGGTTTGAAGAAAAAAGGAAGTTTATTTTGGAGAACTATACCTGCGGCAGTGATGTGGGTAGTTTGGTCTGAAAGGAATAGAAGAATCTTCAGCAACAAAGCCAAGAGCACGAAGGAGATAGTGCAGCAGGCGGTCAGCAAGCTGATTTCCTGGGTGTCTGTTACACCTGATTTTAAAGAGCTGAATGTTCCTGAATTAGTTAGGTCTATTTCCATTTGGGATCTGTAACATGTCCTGAAATCTGAGCAGCTGCTTGTGGCTTGCTCTTCTATTGTACTGAGTTCTTTCTGATTCAATAAATCTATACCTTTCAAAAAAAAAATCTTCCACATAGCTAATCTCTTTTCGATCTTCTCCAAGACTGGGGTCCAAAACCTACTCTCCCTAAGGTTTGCCCCTAACGGAAGCCCTAAGTAGGCCAAAGTGCAGGAAGAAATGGAACACTCAAGACAATCTGCAACCGCCTCAACCCCTTCAAAGTCTAGATCGACTCTGGCTATGCAGCTCTTTCCTAGATTGATTTTCAAATTGGAAACTCCTTCAAAAGCTCTAATCAATTCCTTCAGGTTTTCCACCTTCCCACCGAAGCCTCCATCACAGAAGGTTATCAAGTCATCTGCAAACTGAATGTGAGTTACTGGAATTCGATCTGTGCCTGCTCTCCATCCCCTTATCACATCTTCCCTATCAGCCCTAGTGATAAGTCGACTGGACATACACAACCAAACACCCAACTACACCATCTTTCCCCAAACACTTCCTCAAAACCTCTACTAGGAACTGCCAATCTACCAAGTCATAGGCTTTCTCAAGATCAAGTTTACAAACAAAGCCTCTCTGCTTGGACCTCTTCATCTCTTCCACACATTCATTGGCAATCAGAATCTGATCAATTATCTAATGTCCTTGGATGAAAGCCCCTTGAGCCTGACTAATAATGGAGGGAAGGATTTCTTTAATCCTCAAAGACAGGACCTTGGCCAGGATTTTATAGATACTAGTCACCAAACTAATTGGCCTAAATTCTTTAGGATGGATAGCATCAGCTTTCTTTGGAATAAGGGCCAAGAGGGTAGCATAAATGCTTTGGCTGACTATATGCTTAGAGTGGAGGCTTACAATTATGCAGACTAGGCTTGCTCATGGTGCATTAGAACTAGCTGAACTATAGGACATCTATGAGAATCCAATATGAGACTATATTGTAATAACCAAATAGCAATTCAACAGGAACAGACTAAACATATTGAGGTTGATAGGCAATTAATACAAAAATGTGGTGAAGTTTGTCATTTGTTTGTCAAGTCTAAAGCTCAGTCAGCTCATTACCTAACAAAATGAGTTTCATAAGTCCAATTTAAAATAAAATTTGTGCAAGCTGGGCATTTTTAACATATATGCTCAGTTCAAGGGTGAATGTTGAGTACATGCTTAATATTGTAAGGGTAGTTTAATCATTATATTGATCAACGATTAATATGTAATGTACTAGAAATTTATGTTTTAGGGGCCATTTGATAATAGTTGAATTGAATGACAGAGCATGTCTGTAGTGTATAAGTTACCAAGGAGGTTGTGACTTGTGAGATCCTAAATGGATGCAACTAATTTCTGTTGCTATTGAAATTATATCCTGGAAAATTTTAATATTAATTATTTTATGCACTAAAAAGCAAAACAATAAATAATTCAATTCAGCTGTTATCAAACCCCTTAGTATAAATGAAATAGGATCATGCATAACAGTTCGGCAGCCCTTCTTCTACCTAATTCAATCCTAACATCCTGAATCAAGAAAAGTAATTTAAAGAAGGTAGCAATATGGATGAAATATAAATGGAAACTAGTGCCTGCCCCTGAAGGGTAAGAGAAATAGGCATAGAAATAATGAAAGTCACATTTACATCATCCAAAGAAATTCAAGATGCAATATCCATGAAGATATGTTCCAAAAGCATCCAACAAATGATTTAGATTTGGAGCATTATAACATTTTCCCTGAATCAAAAGCATCATATAATGAAGCTATTTAACCTTGTATACCTAAAAAACAAATAAGATCTGGAAATGCAGCAAGAATAGGTACTTCATTAGAACAATAAAAAGAAAGGAGTACTGGAAAACATGATACAAAGATTATATTAGAAATGATCTCTACAACCAGCATTATAACCCACCTTTTGTCAGAAGATTCCTTGAAACGAGCAAGCATTTGAACCATCGCATCTATGGACAGCTGACCAGAAAACATCTGATGGAAGTAGGAGTTTGCTTCAGCCTCAATATCATCTGCATATCCATCAGAAGTAGATGAATCGGTGGTTCCACCATTCTGCAATCTAGGATTAGTATGCACAGATGCTGCATGCAACTTTTTCATTTCCTCAGAAAGCTGACGAGATGTAATCTGCCCAGAATGGGCTTGAAGGACCTGGAAAATACAAGTCAATGACAACAAGGAAAGACAAATGTTGCATATTGAAAAGTAAATCATAGAAATAATACCTTGAATATTGTTGAACTTGTCTCTGAGTAAGCATTCACCATAGCACCAGTATGCCGGAATGGAGTAGCAGGGACATCCTGTGCTGCATCGAACATTATCTCCTTCAAGAACTTGAGGCATTCCTGACAGGCAGTAGTATGAATACATTCAGTTTTTTTTTCTTTTTCACGAAACATACATCAATCATAGCAAGGTAGCTCCCACTACTGAGACTGCAAATTAGGTTGCCCATCTTGAAGAATTTCAACATCAGGCTACAGATTGGGTCCATTGAAAATTTAACAAATTCCCAAACCAACCTGTCCAGAGTTGCACCCCCTACCCACTGATGGCACTGAAATCCATGAGATGGAATAAAAGTTATGAGTGTTACCTCAAAAAAGACATCTTTGTATGTACTTAGATTATCATTTAACCACTTCTCGAGATTTATATGTTCTTTCCGAGAAGCAAGGGCAGCCAGTTTAATACTGAAATAAAATGGGGCTGCATCCAACACTGATGAAAGAATCTGAAACATGAAAAAAAACTACAAGAGTAAGTATGAAAACCAAAGAAACAACTGGAATAGAAGAATAAAATATTTGCTTTATCGATAGCAACTAAGAATTTTATTAATTATGATACCAATTTCAATTTAGATAGTGTTTAGTTCCATTTCAGTTTATCAGAAAATAGGTGCCACCTCAGTGCCAAATAGGTGTTTCCCCAATGGCCGCATGAAATTTTGTTTGGTTAAGCATTTATTGGAGAAAACATTTTTCTCAGGTTATGTAAGAGTCCACCATTGGAGGAAATGTCAAAATAACATTTCCCCCAACACCAAGGCGTTATTTTACTGTTTGGCACATGTGACACCTGGTGGGGCCTAGCTGTCATTTGTTCCAATTTTCAAGAGATAAAACATTTTGTCATGATTTTCAAGAGAAAACTCAAGAGAAAATCCATGCAAAATGTTTATCAGATTAACCCCACCGATATGAAACAGCCCCTTAATGTACAAGATGTACATACTACATACAAAATAACAGAGCAACAAGGGAGCCAAAAACCATAATAAATTTCAGTACACCTGCTCCCTAGAGAGCTCAATAAATATTGATTTTAACCCAAAGGGTACTCGCTCCATGTCAATGTTTCTCTAGGGGTGGACACGAACCAAGCTTTTCACAAGCTAATCAAGCTCGGCTCGTGAGAAGCTCAATTCAGCTCAAGTCTAAACCAAGCTTTGAGCCAACCTCGAGCCCAATGAAGCCAACTCGTGAAGCTTGTGAGCCTTATCAAGTTTATATATATATATATATATTGATAAATGAGAGTAGTTTTATTAATTCAAAAAATAGCAGTACATTCAGCCTAGGAAGAGGCACAAGGTGTTACCTCCCCCTAGGACTGAGTCATAAACACTAAACAAACACAATCCTGAAACACAGTTACAAAGTGACCCAAAACAGATCTCCCCTTGACACCCCTTGCTTGGCCAAAGAATCAGCCATTGTGTTTGCTGATCTGCTGACCCACTGAAACCTGACTGACATATTCCTTGTCAGCCATTTAACTTTCTTTAACAGATCCTTGTAGCCCCAACAAGCTGTCTCTGGACTTGTCAACCAGCCCACTACAACCTTGGAATCCCCTTCTACTATCAATTTATTCACTCCAAGTTGACTGGCAATCTGTATACCTTGTACCGCTGCTAGTATCTCTGCCCTTACAGAATCACCAACACCCGCTGGTCCTGAAAATAAAGACAACATGTTGCTATCTTTGTCTCTCAGAATCCCTCCTATTCCAGATGGCCCTGGGTTACCTTGGCAGCTACCATCAAAATTCAGTTTTACCACTCCATTCGGTGGGGATTCCCATTCAGCTTGTGATTTGTTCTTTGTGGAGACTGTAGAAGCCACTGCTGCCCAGTTTCACCTTAAATCGTCGAAGGAGTAAAATCTACCAACAAGTGTGAAGATTTTAGCCACGAGACTGTCCTTGTCATTATGCATTCCTTAATTTCAGCAAGACTCCTTTCCTTTTCTTGAAATATTCTAGCATTTCTCTCCTCCCATAAAGTCCACAAGGTAGCAGCTTTGATACATTTCCACATTAGCTTCCCTCTTTTTGTCAATCTCCCAAAGGCAGCCGGAATGAACAGCAGCTTTACTTCGGAGGGCAAGTTCCACCTGCACCCAAATAGTGAAACAACCCAATTCCAAATATTGACAGCAAAAGAGCACGATATCAGTAAATGGTTACAGTCCTCACCCTTCACTTTACACAAGAAGCACCAATTTGAGGGCAAACACAAGTAAGGTTTCTTCTTTTGCAAGCTTTCCACCGTATTGATCTTACCCAAGTAGGCTACCCAACAAAACATTGCTATCTTAGGAGGAATTGGCCTTGACCAGACCTCTTTAACAGGGAACACTTGAGAGGAGGGATTGGAGCAGAGGGCTTTAAAGAAAGAAGCACAAGTGAAGGAGCCAACTAGGGTTAGAGACCAAACCCTTTTATCCGGGTTAGGGGGGGTCCAGGTACACTGAGTCTAGAAGTAACAAGAGAGCTGAAACGCAAAGAAGTTCTTCATCCCTTAACCCTCTTCGAAACCCAAAATTCCAGTTTAAGTCCAAAGGGCGAACCGGGGAGGAAATAAAGAGGAAGATGGAATAGAGAAAAGGAAAGCGGTCTTTTTTATCTTGTGTTTGCCCAATGGGGTTGAGTGCTCACCTTATGGAATATTATATATAACATTTTTTATCTTAATATACATTTTAATTTTTATATGTATACTTTTACTTTTTATATTAAGCTTGCCTCACTGTTGAGCTACAGTCAAGCTGAATTCAAAGTTATGAGCTTTTGAGTCCAGCCAAATCTCCAGCTTAAATAGAACTCAAGCTCAAATTCAAGCCCTGTTTTTCTACCAAGCCGAGCTCAAATAGCCAAATATTCAGCTCAAATCCACCTTTTATCCACTCTCTTACAAACAAGTGAATCTACCTAAGAGTTGGAAGACCTAAGGATCCAAGATATATCTGCTTCAATTCTCTCGCAGAGATGCAAGATGCTTAACTTCCCTTAAACGCATTAGAGCCCATGGTCCCTCAAATTCTTCCTTTAACTATTTTACTATTGTTTGGGAGTCTCGTTCTACTAATAACCTTCAGTGACTCGCTGCAATTGATAGTCGCAATCCTTTTGAAACAGTAAGCAGCTCTGCTATACCAGAACTCACAACCCTAATAGTTCCAGAAAAGGTGAGGACTCTCTCTCCACCATGATTTCTAAACACTCCACCAATATCCGGCTCCTCCAGGTTGCCAAGGCTACAGGCATCAATATTCATTTTGATTATGTCCAACAATGGAGGGAAACACATCACATCAGTTCGGTTGCATAATAATGATGAGAAAGCCACAACTGATGATCTTCAACAGATATCAGATATCCTCGATGGAGAAACATTTTTTTGATGAATAATAATAAGCATTTTATTAAAAAATTTCTAAGATGGATTTACAACTGATACAGCATGTTGTTTTCCCAAGAGGCACGAGATGCTGCCTCTAAAAACAAGATAAATTACAGTGTAGCCCAGAATAATGGAACCCCATTCACCCCTTGCTTAGCTAGTAGGTCTGCCTGCCCATTTGCTGATCTTCTCTCCCACTGAACTCCTGACTGTTAAATTAGAAGTTAGCCATTTAAATCTTCTAATCACGCCCCCTGAAAGAAGAAGCTACTGTCTCTGGTTTTTCAACCACCCAATTACCACTTTAGAGTCTCCATCTATGAGCAAATTTCTTAAGTTCATCTCTTTAGTGATTTGACCAGAGAATAAAGCCACTATCTGGCCCTCTGCATTCTTGAATACTCCTCCAATCCTAGAGGACCCAGGATTACCGAAGTTGCTGCCATCAAAGTTTAGTTTTGTGAAACTTTCTTCTGGGGGCTTCCAAGCTAGAACATGTTGTCCTTAACTGAAGAAGAAGCTTTAGCAACTAGTTCCCAGTTTCTCCACGTCATTAAAGGAGAATAGTGAAAATAGATCCAAAGCTATAGCCCAGTTAATAGCCCTAAACAGCAGACATTCCCACACAGAATCCCCCTCCCTTTCTTTATCATTAAACACTTTGCTATTTCTTTCCTCCCAAACTGTCAAAACTAAAGCAGCCTTAACACACCTCCATAAGACACTCGCTCTATTCTTGGGCCACCTGAAAGTTGTAGGGTCAAAAAGCCCCCCAATTTGCAAAGCATCCTCCACCTGCACCCAAAAAGACCAAAGATCTTTTCCCAAAGTTTCACAACAAAAGGGAAGGATATTAAAAGATGGCACTAGATCTCTCCATTTGCTTTGCAAAGAAAACACCAACTTTGGGGGGATACAAAGGTTGGGTCTGTTCTTTTGTAGGTTATCCAAGGTGTTTAATTTCCCTAGGGAAACTTCCCAACAAAGGGCTCTGAACATAGGGGGAATGGTTTTAGACCAGATTTCCTTACAAAAGAAAGGCTGAGGGATAGGGACAGAACACAACTGAGAAAAAAGAGGCACAAGAAAAACACCCCCAAGAGTTGGGAGTCCATATTCCAGCATCAGGTTTAGAGAAGTCCAAACAAAGGTTGTCAAGGGTTTTGAGTAAAAAAGCAGTTTGATCAAGCTCAGAGTTTCTCAGGTCTCTTTTGAACCCCAGATTCCAACAAGAACCCGAGGATTGGGAGAAAGAAATGAACCGCTCTAGTTCGCTCGCTCAACGAAGCTCCAAGGACCCCCTATTTGGTAATGTTGTTCCTTCATTCATCCTAATAAAATATCTTCTTAAAAATCAATTAAAATTATAAAATCATTATTTTTTGTGTGAGAACTAAGAATTTAAGACCCTAACATGGACTTGTTTGGGCTTACCTCAAGAGGCGTGGCACAAAGGCGGTTCGTAGAATCAAGAATGTAATATGTTTTACATCACGTTAGCTACTTGAAGTAATGCAATTGAGGAAAAAAGAGATTGTGGGTTTTACACGCTTGAAAATGTTTTATATGTTTGATTTTATTTTTAAATTCTCACTTGAATATGCTTTGCATGTAATGTTTATTTATTTTAATTTTAGATAACAGGTTTTTAAAACATTTATTTTAAAATTTACGTTTATATTTTTTTATTAATATTATGTTTAATATTTTGAATTTGTTGGCATTTTTTGAATTTTCTGACCTTTTTATTTTTAGCATTTTTTATTTTTGCACCTTGCTTCAAAAAGGTGTGTGCCTCGCAAGGCACAAATTGACCCCTACGCTTTTTTTTGCGCCTTGTGCATTTAAAACACTGTTCCAACAATGAAGAGACATCCTAAAGCTCCAATTCTCCAAAAACCATAGTTCCAGGAAAGGCAACTGCTTGAAACCATAACAAGAAATGTAATTAGTGATTCTTTAGTTTGGACAAGGAATATAGTCTAGGAAAGATATCATTCAAAACAGAGCTCCCCAACTATGGGCCTTCCCAAAATCTAACACTGCTTCCCTTCCTAGCATCATCAAATCTAATACATCCAAGGAATTGATCAAGGGCTGTAAGAATAGATTCCCACGGAGAAATCAAATGTAAAACTAAGGGCTAGTTTTTATCACCTACACGGCCACTATGTTCCATATTATTGTGATCTTTCTTTGCACCCTGAGGTTCCCAAAGAAAGTTCCTCATAACTCTCTCCAACATTTTATTGATTTTCATTAGAACTTTGAAAAACAAAAAAAAAAAAAGACTAGCAAGTTGGAAGAGGTAGAGAGTGATTTTCGCCACCCACCCACACCCATTCCCTGAGACCCTGACAAAACATATTGCTTTTACCAAGATGCCTTTTTTCTATGTCTTTCCATCACAAGGCACCACAATGACAAAGATCTCAAATTACCTCCAAGAGGGAGGCCTAGGTATCTCTCCACCAAGAAGTGAAAGGTAGAAACATAAAATGAAAGAATTTAAAACTAGTACAATGAGTTCTACATTCAAGTGACACTGACAGTGAAAAAATGCAGGAAAAAAAAATCAGCACATTTGGGCAATAATAAGTAACAATAAAGTCGCAACAGTAACATTGAAATATTTAAACATCCAAATCGTCTCTTCCTCACTACAGAACTAGAGTTACTAACCAACAGTAGTAATCAAAAGATTCAAAATTAATTGTAGAAGCATAACAAACAAGCAACAAGCAAGTTCTTCAACACCCTCATCTTAACCAGGCATGAAAAGTAGGCAATCAAATTCAGGAAGCAAAAAGTGAAAAAACAAAGTGCACAACCAAAAAAAAGAGAAAAAAAATCTTCTTCTAATTACTTCTAATTATTAAGAGAGGCATGGTTTCGAAATGGCCATACACTAGCTTTGAAAGACTGCAACGATACATCATGGCCATACATGACTACAAATAGTGCTACAAAAAAAATGGTTGAAATAATGAAAGTAAACTGAAAGGAGGTGGAAGATCACTTGAAACAATGGTCAAGTAAACCATGGTAAGTTAAAACAAACCAAAAACCAATTAACAGAAAAACTGTAACTTCCACTAGCTACCTACTTCAGGTATGGTATTTGTACCAAGTTAACTCAAAGTTGTTTACCTTCTTTTTTTGGATCAATGAAACTTGTATTGTATTAAATTAAAATATGTGAAAAAAAAAAACATTTAATTTAATGACCATAACATCAGCCCAACAACCAACACTATGTTACAAAGATGCCCAAAACAATTGCTGCCTATCTACCCCTTGTTTAGCAAGGGAGTCAGCTAGGCATTTGTGAAGCTGTTTACCTTCTGTTCCTGGCAAATGCCCAAAATTCTTGACATGTTGTCTTGATCAGCACTGTGAATATCTACAAATCCTCGCAGCACAAGATTAGGATTGATATGCCATATTTGGAGAACAATACCACTTCTAATAGCATTTCCAACAATCATGGGTAGAACAGTTGAAGATACTTCATACTGTAGGAGATTAAATGTGGTCTGCTTTGACAAAATAAATTTCCATCAATCAAATTGTCTACAGAAGGTGGAACCACAAGATGTTGCATATATGAAGGAAAATATACATTGATATGGGCCATGCCAAGAAGCAAGACTTCGGGACAGTGTTTAAGAGGATACTCGAGCATTGATCGGATAGAAACAACATGCCCCCTCTCAGCTAGTTGACAAAGCACCTCCAAGAGGTCTAGACATGACCATGCTTGGTTTGCATTTCCATATGAAAGCTTTTGACCCTGTATAGCATCAACATATGTCTACAAGAACAGGAAACTCCAATCAACCAGACCTTAAGAATATATTAGAACCAAAAGAATAGGCAAAGCACCATACCATCTGTCTTGTAGAATGTGCGAAGGAAAATATTTCAGGTGGTGATGAAACAGCATATTTTAGGAATGACAGCTGACCCTCAGCATTCTTCCAGACAGACCCACAAATGGCATGGAGCGGGAATGGATCCTGAACAGTTTTCCACTCATTTTAGTAAATTTAAAGAAATTATTTGGCTTTTCATGTAACATGCTCCATAACCATACCTGGCACGCATTTGCATAAACAGACATGAAAAAACGAAAAGCATCCTCGTTAGGAAAATAGAACCCCTCATGATCCAGGTTTTCCATGACACTAATCCAATTAGTTCCCGGGGCCTGCACTTAAGAAAATCATGGTTAAAAACAACTAGTAGCAATTGCCCAGACATTCACAACATAGCATGTTTACAGTTGCCACAACCAATAGAAAGAAGGACAACCAATGGTACATTCAGAATACTCACAAGTTGCTTAATTGAGTCTACAAGAACATCAATATTCCAGGAGCTCAACCACGATGTATCAGATGATGAACTGCTACCAAGAGCAGAGCAGAATGTTGAGTACATGTTTTGGTTGTCCTCAAGACCAATATGGGTGCGTGCAATTGTCCCAATAATCCTAGCAAGAGTGACTTCATTCAAAGGTAAAAAAAGAGACAACATTTCCTTGCAATGTGAAGAATTAACCGTGCATCCATAACCGAGTTCTTTCATAACATCTGCCATGCTTATCTCCTTTTCTATCTCCGCCAGAACAGCATCAAAATCATTTTCTTTGCATTCATAGAATAGATCCAAATGACTGCAACAAGCATAACATCAGTGAAACCACAAAAATGATTTCATCAGGATAGAATAAGACATTATAAGCAACTAAAAAAACACTGCTCCCTAAGATAGCCAAAGCAAGAAAAAGACAAAAACCTCAAAGAACTAGCATCATGTGAATCATCTGAAAACAACGGAGCTAATATAAAAGAAGTCTTCTCTTTCAGTTGCAACAAAGATAACATCTGCATAAAGGAATCCACATGTGTTGCAAGGCCCTCAGTCCGGTTAAGAAACATTACAATATCTTGAATCTGCTCTTGAGAATCAATGGAAGCAGGATGGGAACACAGTTCCTCAATCTGGAACATGCAGAAGTTTTGCCCTGAGAAGCAACCAACAGTTGATTTAACACAGTGAGATTCAACGCAATTGACAAATAGGGAGGAGAGCTACAGCAAAGGAGCCTTGTAATCTGGAGGCGTTTCTGAAACCTATATCTAAATCAAGCATGTGAACTTACCACTTGTTCTTATATCAAGATTTTCTGAATCTGACAAAGCAAGACCTATCGCAATTTTCTCAGAAACTGAGAAGTTTAATGCACCAAAGAAATCTCGAAGAAATCCTTCACTAACCACTGTACTTCTCAGTGCTTCAGATAACACAGTACTGAAATTTGGTTTATCCAACAAATATCTGAAGATTGCAGCAATAATATCTGGTTTCCATTGAACATTTTGCATGTCCCCCCCATGAAAATTCACATGATCCAAACAGCTCTGGAGAAGCAAAATACTCCCCTCACTCCCATAGTCAACAAACTGAAAGCATCAAAAAGGTAATATTAGCAAGTAATGCACAAAGCATGCCCAATAGAAGAAATTGAATAAGAATCAAATAGAACAAATATGAAACTATCAAATAACATCAATATGGATAATAAGTGGAACTTGAATAATTAACTAACAATTCTTTTGTTTTGGTGGACGAAGTGATGAACATGTCACCAACATTATATTCAAATAGTTCAATAAAAGTTAAACAGCATACATATTATAAATTAGTAGCTTAACACCATTCAACAGCTTGGAGATGTAGAATGACAATAACATTAATAATAATAATAACAATACAACAATAAAAAGAAGAATTTATCATAACTTTGGGTTTCTTGATAAATTAAAGCCTGCTAAGATGTGCCAAAGATATATTATTATTACTCAATTAAATGATTATTCAGTGTCCCATGCAACAAATTTCAGCAGTTGATGCCATTATTAAGACTAGTAAGAACATTTTATAACTTCATTATACGATGCAAGGTATGCTAAGAGGTTCAGCCAGCTGGTACTTCTACAATGTAGTGTGCAAGGTTTACAATACCAAACAACAACAAGACATTTCAGCTTAGTTCTTAAACAATTAAACGTTGTTTTGGGTTGGTTTTTAGTCCAAATTGGAGTCTATAAAGGAAAAACCGAGTTCTTAGGTTTAGTCTATAAATAGAATCATTTTTATTACAATTCAGGAGGATAAAATTTGATGAAATAAAGTTTGGTTTAGTGAAGGAACAACCGAGTTCTTATGTTTAGTCAATAAATAGAATCATTTTGATTACAATTTAGGAGGATAAATTTGATGAAACAATGTTTGGTTTAGTGATCTGGTTGTTTCCAAGAATTGTTTCTTTCTCCCCCTCTTTCAGACCTAAGTGATCTACTTTTGCTGTTTACCCTAAAAGCAATTGTTATCTTTCTTGCTAATCTCTTACACATTCTTTGGTGGACGGCAAGCTTTTCACTTGCTTCTTGATCTCTTAATCCCTCAGAGCCCTTCCTCACCTAACAAAGCCCACTATAGCAAATCACCAAATGTGAAATTTGTAGGACCCCCACCCTGCCCTACATTAGTTTGGAAAGACACAACACATCAGAAAATAAACCAGAAATTGGTGTCCAATTTCTAACTTTATAATGCTCCTAGGGATCTATGACTTGTACCTTGGATTATCATTATTTGAATATCCTTTATCTTTTTCTCAAAAAAAAAAAAAACAGAAAAAACAAACTTGGGTGATTCTCACACACATTTTCATATGACAAAAATGGCTAAAAAGATGAAGCAGGTTCACAAAGTTGAAGAGGAGATTTTCTCAAAAAAAAGTAGAAGAGAAGATTACATAAATAAATACATATAAAGATCTTACCATTTGGTTTAGAAATTCGTCATACTTATTATTAGTAATTTTGAGTGTCTTAAGTCCATTTCCTTTCTTGTTCCTTGATTTTTCAAGGTTCAAAATCCATCCATTTGGCATGATCTGAATGCCAGATTCTAAGAGCCAACAAATTGTATTAAGTATAGGAAGAAAGGGAGTGTACATGTTTATCAGAGAGAGAGAACGGAGAGATGAAGTGGACAAGGGAGGATATATGATGATGATTATTACTGGAAAGGTTCTTCTATTGCTTATCCAAAATGTCAGGAATCTGACATGATCTGGGAGATTTATAAAACCTTTTATTAGCAGGATCTTGAAAGGTTTTACTTTCATAAGTCTCTTGAAAGCAGTTCAAAGAAGTTTCGTACTGTTGAAAAGTGCTAAGTTATTTGTTTGAGGTTTCTCAATTTTCTCATAAGGATTCGAGAGAAATGTTAACTGGAACAAGGCAAGTATTTTGTTTTTCATCTTTCTATACATATTTCTATATTAGGAGATCAATCTTTCTATTAGAAAAGTTTCTCCAACATCTAGGAAATAGGGAACAAGTAGTTTTTTGGGTTATAGAAAGAAAATAACAAAGTAGTAAAACCTTGAAGAACACCTTTATTTTGGTAGTAAAAAAAGATAATTCCAATATCTAAGAAACGGAAGGCATGGGCTTCCCTTCCAGTGGTGTTCACGGAAAGAACTTTCAGGATATTTCTTTTGATTCCATCTTCAGGGTACTGTTGCCGGTTCATCAACTAGCAGAGAAGACAGAAGACAGGATTGAATCAGTGGTCTCCATGATTATCATCTAGATAAATTTTGAGATCTGCTCTCAGAATCAGGTCAGTGTAGAGGAAAGGCTTCACGGATCATAGGTGCAATTATACGGGTTTATTCTGGGATTATTGCATGAGGAACACCAAGCCAAACTTCTCCAAGGTCCAAAGATGCTGTTTCTCTGAGTTTAGCTTTAAGAAAGCAGGTATCAAGGATTCTCAAATGATGGTTTGGTGATGAATAATTTGGTTCAGCCTGGTTTTTGAGACATCAAATAAAAGAGGTAAGAGTGTTTGCTTTAAATTTTAATATATCTTTGAGATGGATCCTGAGATCACCAAACTCAATGGTAGATAGTCTGGCTAGAGCAGGATTGAAAGGGATGCCTTGTATCTGAGAGTTGTCATCCTGGGTTTCTCTTAAATTTGTCTCTACAGTCAATGTAGTTTGTTCTCCTTTCCCCTTTCTGTCTAGGAATGCTGTTCAAAGAGATGCCTTCTATTATAAAATTGATATCCCAGGCTTGTCTTCATATTGTCTCCCAGGGTATTTCTTTCCTTTTTTCCTCCTTTTCTAGATGTTTCTGGTCAGCATGGTTTTCCATTTCCCCCTTGGAGTGCCTTTGTGTTTTCCTCCTATTTCTTTTCTTAATAAAGTTTTGAAGTAACTGATCCGAAAGGAAATCAACCAAGTAGGTTTCTAAAAATCCAATTTTTTTCATATTTTTTGCTTATTTACCTTTCCTAACCAGAAAATAGGTCCTTGAATGTTTTTCAATACTAGCACATATCTTTAATTCATGTTGTTTCAATTTGCCTATACAAACAACAAATGTATTGGAAGTATTTTCAATACTAGTATCTTATTGGCATTCTTTTTCCTTTCCTTCTTTCTTTTTCTTTTATGGAACCTCCATGTACAAATTTTATCTTACAGTGCATTTTAATCTCTACCTGATTGACTCCCATCTGTGTGTGACATATAGACAACCAAGTCAAACACGAGAAATTGATAAGCTAATCACTAAGATTTTCCATTTTTATGTCTAATATCTTCAGTTTTTCTACTAAAATCTGATATGCATCTAAATGAAATGGCCAGTTACAATATAAAAAAATATGTAAAAATAGTAACAAAGGTTCATTTAAGTCTCCACAATCACATATTTTTGTATAGTCGGCAGAATACAATCATATTCATGAGCAATAAAAGACTTACAGTCCAAGCAAATAAATAGCAAGTTATAAAACAGCTTACAGCTGGCACTACAAGCATAATTGTCTGTTTACCATTTTTCAAATCACTCTCAGGCCCACCCAGGAATTCCCATAGAAGATTCTGCCTCGTTATAATCATCATAGTCAAAACACTTTAACACCAGGAATGCATTTGATATTTAACTTCAGCTCAAATACTTCTTAAGTTCTACAAAAACTGATTCAGCATTCTAGCTTCAATTCTTCCTTTTTTGCCCCCCCCCCAACAATTGCGTAAATCCATTTTACCTTGGCCAAATTCAGTTTGCTAATTCAACTCAACGTCATCTCAAATACAGTGTTTTGAAGCTGACATATCGTTAATGATTAGGGTGAAGTCATCACTTATCATCATTTGTCAATTTCTTTCTTTTCTTTCCTCTTTTCTGCATGAGTACGTGTGAGTGGGGTTTTGTTGAGCATGTTAGTTATGTGCAACTGTTCTAGACTATGAGTTCATTAGTTAGCAGATGAAACAGCTCTCGAATCCCTTTTTCAGTATCACCATCGAAAGAGCTTTACTTGCAGAGTGGGACTCGGGGTGAATATTCAGAAGGTTGAAAATGATAATACTAACTGATTTCATACAATTCCCCCACACGGAAGGGGAAAAATAGAATTCAACCAATAAAACGTTATTCCACGCAAAGAAAACACCAGAAAGCTGGTTGAATCATTTGCAACAAGAACATAACAATCGATCCACCATAGAAACTGAGATCCAAAAAAATGTAAAACTCGAGTCACAAAGTTACATTTCTCCACTAAAACAAAAGTTCGCCTTCCTGATCAAGACAGCTAAACCGCAACTAAAGATTCAGAAAACAAATATGAAAAGGAAAGTATACGTCTGCTGAACAGATTAAAGAACTGAAGGACGAAATAGAATGACTTTTGGCAATAGATGATGTCGTGAAGCCGAAGCATACCTGGCATAGCTCGCGAAATACAGAATCGAAGTTAGAATCATTCAAGCTCTGAAGCAAGAACCGAATCTGGTTCGAAATGGTTGGAGAGAAAGGAAGCATGGTGTGTTGGATTGAGCGATCACTAGGATTCTTGCACGAAGGTTGATAATAGAAGATTAATCTGGGGTTTCTTCAGAGAAATTCAAGGGATTTGTGAAATTAGGAGATTACGGAGAGAGTGAGAAACGTCGAGACACGGAAGAGGGGTCTTTCGACCCTGTGCCACATTATATATAGGCCTATTATGATAATATCTTCCTAATAAGTAAACGAAGAGTTGTCCTCCGTAGATTAAACCCGTCTGATTAAAATTTCCTGTACCATTAAGGATTCCAATCCAACGTTTATAACTTCAATAAATAATTTTGGTTGATTGGCTGTTGTCTTGTGTTGACAGCATTTCAACTCTCAGCTGGCAGGCGGAGATGTGCACGAAAATAAAACATGAACATTTATTATATTATAAAGTCCCTTCTTCAGCCTCTTCCTCTTGGGCATGAAAAAAATAAAAATAAAACAACAAAAAGCCCATTTAGAATAGGGCATAGTGTGAGAGATTGGGGAAAATAAGAAATTGCAATTTTTTACTAGATAAGTGGATAGGCCCACACCCGATACATAGAATGGACACAAGATTTACTAGGTAAAAAAGTGAATCATTATAAGATTAGAAAACAAATGTTGGGACCATACAAAACTAGGAGAAATAAAATAATTGATATCCATATTCTCGTGCGGGAGAGAGAGATGATAGAATAGTATTGGGAGGGGGGACTGTCCTTCACCAATAATTCAGGTTATAATAGTTAGGGGTGTCCACGGTTCGGTAAATCGAACTATGAACAGTTTTTATAAATCGAATCAGTATTATCGGTTTTTTCATTTTTCTAAACTGAAATCGAATTGATATCACAGGTTAATCGATCCACCAGTTTCGGTTTTCTTTTGTTTTTTTGTTTTTTATATTTATAATATATATTATATAAGTATATGTATATGTATAATTATAAATAATAAATGATATATAATATATGTATATATTTATAATAATCATATAAATATATACTGGTTGGTTCGGTTAACCATTGGTTTTTTTGTAGGTTAATTGAAAATCGAACCGGTCCTTCAGTTTTTCAAAAATTTCAAACTGAAACCGAACCGATTAAGGTTAATCGCATTTTGTGAAATAAAATCTTCCACTGGCTTATTCTCCTATATATAATTCCTTCTAAAACAATCCTACTGGCAAAAGGCTTAAATATGTGTTCCTTGCCCTTTCCCTAACCAATAGGGAGATCGATACCATATCATGAAGAATTGTCAAGTGGGCTATAGAGAGAGAGAGAGAGAGTGCGTGTGTGTGAATGAACAAATAAACCTTTGAATAGAAAAATAGGGAGGGAAGACGTGATGGAAACTTGAATGACTATGAAACCAATGATGAATGAAACGATTGAAATGTTGATCCCCCTTTTTGGGGAAAAAAAAAGGTTGTGTACATTTGCTAATTCATATGGAAGATTAATAAGAATGAAAAGTAGTTCAAAATAAAAGTAGCCTTCCTAGATCAATAACTAACAAAATCCATTTGGCTCTAAAAGAATTCCTAGAGGCAAATAACCTAATTGAAACCCAAAAAGTTGTTCGCTCTCCAAATATAGAAACTATATGGGTTCGCTAGACCCTCCTCGTGGAGGAGTTCCAAAAAATAACTTTGATGCAATTGCTAAAAGTAATGGATTGTGTGCCATGGTTGCATTGTTAGAAACTCAAGTAGTGCAATATGGACCCATTGGGCTCACTACAATCATTGTGGTCGATATGAAGGTTGCCACTAAAGGCCACAAACTGGCTTCCTACTCTCTAATTGTTCATGCCATATTCAAAGGGATTCTTTGGTTACAATCAACACATTCAAGGGTATTTGGCTTCCCACGCTGAGACTAAAGGTGGCAACGAGCTGTTTGAGCTCGAGCCCAATTCATTGGTTCGATTATTAAACGAGCCAAGTTCAAGCCTATTAGAGCTCGACTCGTGAGGCTCGCGAGCCAGCTCGAATATATATATATATATATATATATAATAAAATTATAGAAAATAATATACATATAATAAAAATATTACGCTCACAACTAGCAAATGCAAGTATAATACAATAACGCTTTCAAAGGAGGGAACTTTGCCGTTAATTGGCTCACCAACAAAGAATTAGAAAGCGACATTGTTTTCTCAAATAAGGCGTCAATATTGAAGGGAGAGTCTTCCCTCCCCACCCCCTTGTATCTTTGACATTCTACTCTCTATATATAAAAAAAAATAGCTTTTTGCCCTTGTGTTGAATACTTTAGATAGTGTTAATGGGTTTTGCAAAATGAAATAAGTATAAGCTCCATATCCAAATAATACCTTGAAGTAATATGCAAATTTTGAAGAATGTGACAAAATACAGTAAGCTTGTTGTCGCATTCCATTCACAAGTGGTAGCACATGACTATTATAACATTTCTTAAAACCCAAATTTGCCATATCTTTACTCTTTACGTCTCAAACCACCAAAACCCATATCAATATTCTTCTTTAGAGAGAGAGAGATGTGATATAATAATGAATCACCTCAAAATAAATAAAATGGAAAAATGATGGAAATAACAAAAGAATATATGAAAAGCTACGAAAACTTTGCCTCTCTTTTGAAATAAATGAATATAGATATAAAGGGGGAGAGGGGGAGAGAGGGAGAAGGAGAATAAAATCAAGATAAATTCATTAATTATTTGAGTATACTTGGTTGCTATCAGCAATAAGGAATCATCGATTATTCACCTATTACACTTTAATAGTTCATCTTGGTTGATGTCACGCTCTACTCAATTAGAATAGGCATTACTAGCCCAGTTTGTACAAGAGAAGACAACATAATTATGGGGTGTCTAACTGAATGAGTCAACTCCCACCCCAAAGAGCCTAAATATATATATTAATCATATGTACTTACAAAGGATCCTTTCAAGGGTTAAAGGATAAAAAGAATAATTACAAATAAATGGACTTTGTAGGGTTGAAAGATAAAAATAAGACAACGACTATAGCACAACAAGGTCCATGTGACTATAGTATATAAAGTGCATCCACCCCCCCCCCCCTAAATTGATGTTGAGACATAAGCATCAATTTACCCACAAGATATAGATGTTTAGCTATCTTCATAGGCTTCCTAAGTATATAAGCAAACTACAAGTCATAAGCTATACGTGGAAGAGAGATAGAGTTAGCAATAAATAGATCCATAATAAAGTGGCAATCCACCTCAATGTGCTTGGTCATCTCATGGAACACTATTTTAGATGCAATATTGATAGCATTTGTATTATCAGCATAGAGAGGAATGGATAACGAAATGTGAACACAAAGACCAGCAAGGGGAGATTGAAGCCAAATAATTTCATCACACATTGATGACATAGTCTTGTATTTGGCTTTTGTATATGACTTATAAATCGTTTGTTGTTTCTTATATTTCAAAGAGATGAGAAAGTCACCCAAAAAAAGATACATCACCATGTAGTGGACCGTTTGGTGTCAGGGCAACCTGTCCAATCTACATCATCATAAGCCTTCAATTAAATAGAAGATGAAGAAGAAAATAATAGTCCATGAGATAAAGTGCCATAAACATAACAAATAATTCAACGAACAACAATCATGTGCGACGTAGGGCTGAAACAAGTTGACTAACTAGTTGAATTGCATGAGAAATATCCGGGTGAATCATGGTGAGATATACGAGGGACCCAACTAGTTGTCAATATAGAATAGCATCAAGAAGTAAGGACCAATAAGATTTAGACAATTTGACAATGAGCTATAGATGTGTATTAACTTGTTTGGTGTCTATAAGACCAATGTAATCATTCATGGAGAGAGAGAGAGATGAGAGAGAGAAAGAGAAGAAGAGGAAGATATGATTGAGAGAAAAAGAAAACCTTATTCTCGTTGCCGCCTCACAACACTCCCCCTCAAGTTGGGCTAAATATGTATATCATGCCCAGCTTGTCACATAACTTATTGTGCCGCGAGTATGGAAGCCCTTTTGTGAGGACATCAGCGAGTTATTCTTTAGAGTTTACATAAGGGATGCAGATTTCCCTTTTTTCCAATTTTTCCTTTATGAAGTGTTTGTCCACCTCAATGTGCTTGGTTCCCTCATGTAGGACAGAATTAGTGACGATGTTAATGGCTGTCTTGTTGTCACTGTAGAGAGACATGGGATTGTGAACAACAACTCCAAGCTCCCCTATAAGATTTTTTAGCCAAAGAACTTCAGCCACCCCATGTGCCATAGCTTTATACTCCACTTCAACACTTGACCTTGCTACCACACTTTGTTTCTTGCTTTTTCAGGTCACTAGGTTTCCTCCCACAAATGTGCAATACCCACTTGTGGACTTTCAGTCATCCACAACACCTGCCCAATCAGCATTTGTAAAGACTTTCAGCTTTAAGTGATTATGTTTACTGAATAGTAGACCTGTTCCGGGATACTTTTTCAAGTATCTAAGAACTCTCTTTGCTGCCTCCATGCATGGTTTCTTAAGATAGTGCATGAATTGGCTTAGAACCCCAACTGAATAGGCAATGTCTGGACGGGTCATGGACAAATAAATCAGCTTTCCCACTAACCTTTGGAACTGTTTCACATCTTTCAGAGGTTTACCATCACAGTCACCCAACTTGTGATCAACATCCCTATGAGTATCTGTTGGCATTGCACCTAATTTACTTATGTCTTGTAATAGATAAAGGGTGTATTTCCTTTAAGAAATGAAGATACCATTTTCTGAGTGGGCGACTTAAATTCCAAGGAAATACTTTCGGGGACCTAAATCTTTCACTTCAAATTTAGATGCAAGGAATTGTTTTAATTTTTATATTTTTTAACTCCAATTTCCTGTAATGATGATATCATCCACATACACTATAAATACAACAACCTGTTCCTAACATATATTCACAAGGAGTGTATGATCAGACTAACATTGTTTGAAGCCCACCTGCTGAACTGCCAAGTGAAACTTACTGAACCAAGCTCTAGGAGATTGTTTTAAACCATAAAGAGAYTTTCTCAGCTTGCACACCTTATTTTCACTTCCCTTGGCATAGAATCCAAGGGGTTGAACCATGTATACTTCATTCTCTAAGTCACCATTCAAAAAA